GACCCCTCCCGTGAGCCGGGCACTCCGTTTCTTGACCTCAGAAGGGCTGAGTCGACCTCAAGCCAGTTCAGGATTGAACTCAAGTTGTGAGCAGAGTTTTGGGTGCAATACTGCTGTTTTAACCATGGTGTTGGGGGTGGACCAGATCGCTTGAGAGCTCCCTTTCTCCATGGTGTTCACTGATTGATGCCCTGCCTTTCTCCTTGAAAAGGACTGCAGGTGGCTTACAATAATTAAAAGACAATCAAGTTGAAAACCACGAGTATGTAACGGTGGTTAACATCATTAAAAGACAATGTTTAAAAACTACAAGCAATGAACAAGCAGGTATCTTATATCATTAATAGGCAATATTAAGGCAAAGATCAATAAGCATACTTGTTGTTTTTTTAAAAGTCACTCTGAGAAGTGGAAAAGACAAAAACAGAAAACACAGGGAGTACTAAAATCCAGTCAAAGCAGTGCTGCAGAGCAATCTCTCTGAGGATCACACACAGGTAGCTGGTTATTGAAGGCAGCCTTGACTGAAGAGAAAGGTCTTGGCCTGCTTGGCGCAATATGGCAGTTTTAACCATGGTGTTGGGGGTGGACCGGATGGCTCGAGAGCTCCCTTTCTCCGCGGTGTTCATTGATTGATGCCCTGCCTTTCTCCTTGAAAAGGACCGCAGGTGGCTTACAATAATTAAAAGACAATCAAGTTGAAAACCACGAGTATGTAACGTGCTTAAGGGGTCTTCCTTCCTCTGGTGGAAGAGGGCCACGGAGGGTCTCTTTTGACCTGGGATGGAATGGCTGGCTGGACCCTGACCCTTGCCACGTGCCCCACCTTTGCAGCTTCGAGCAGTTCTGCATCAACTACTGCAACGAGAAGCTGCAGCAGCTGTTCATCGAGCTGATCCTGCAACAGGATACAGAGCAATCTCTCTGAGGATCACACATAGGTAGCTGGTTATTGAAGGAAGCCTTGACTGGAGAGAAAGGTCTTGGCCTGCTTGACGATGGACAGCAAAGACGGGGCCAGCTGGGCCTCCAGTGGGAGGGAGTTCCACAGTCTTTAAATCCCCAGGGATCACAATGTGTGGCTTTCCCTCCTGGCCAGCTCGTTGGCTGGCGTTGCTTAAGGGGTCTTCCTTCCTCTGGTGGAAGAGGGCCACGGAGGGTCTCTTTTGACCTGGGATGGAATGGCTGGCTGGACCCTGACCCTTGCCACGTGCCCCACCTTTGCAGCTTCGAGCAGTTCTGCATCAACTACTGCAACGAGAAGCTGCAGCAGCTGTTCATCGAGCTGATCCTGCAACAGGAGCAGGAGGAGTACCAGCGGGAGGGCATCGAGTGGCAGCACGTGAGTCGGCTGGCTGGGAGAGCAGGGAGACGGGCGGTCAGAGCATCTCCAGGAGGAGCCGAGGCACGGAGGGCTATGCTCGCTCCGAGGGTCGCGAAGCCAATGATAAAAGGGCCATCAGAGCCAGAATGAAAGGGGCAGAAACGGGGGCTTTGGCCCAGAGGCCTGCCATTGAGAGGGTGCAAAAATTCGCTTGGGGAAGCAAATTTTGGACAGACTGGCCCGCGGATCCTCCCCATGGATATTTTGCTCCCTGCGCCCTGGGTGGAAGGAAGGGCGAAGCGGGAGGGGCTGAGTGTGCAACCCCTGGGGCTGTGACACGCCCAGGCCCAGATGTTCCTCCCCTGTCCTCCCTCCTCCCTCCTGGGTCACAGATGCCCCAGAGGCCAGATCATGCCTGGGGGGGGCATGAGGCAGGCTGCAGGTGGTCTTGGCTGGGGAAGCCCTAGCCAGAGCAGGAGTCCAGAGGCTCCCCTTCCATACAGGTGGCTTCTCCACCTGCTCTCTGAGGTGCTGGGAGGGGGCTTCTTTCCTTTGCGCCTCCTTGGGTGCAGGAGTCAGCCCGGACAGCGCGCAGGTTCTGTGGTTCCAGCCCTCTGGGAAACAGCGCAGCCGGACATTCTGGGGAAAATCACGCTGCCCGGTTTCAGGAGCCGTTTTTGAAAAGGGCCCCTCTTTTTTATTCGTCGGGCTGCAATGCCCTGGGGTCCGTTGCCCGCGTGGCCACGCTTTGGGGATTTGGGCCACAGTCATCCTCCCCACCCACCCCCCTGCCATTTATTTTCCAAACTCCGCTCCAGCCCCACCAAAGCCAGCCACCTGTACTTTCTGCCTGGCTCCTTCTGAGGACGGAGGATCGGAACCCATTCCACCTGGCTGCTTCACAAAAGCACTGGGGGGGGGGGGTTCTCTCCCTCGGCTTCCCCCTGATGGAGGATCGGAACTCATTCCACCTGGCTGCTTCACAAAAGCGCTGGGGGGGGTTTCTCTCCCTCTGCTTCCCCCTGCAGCCCTGCCCGCTACATCCAGCGCCCCCTGCCCAGGCCAGACCTCTGCGTCACCTTTCCTGGGGGGTTCTTCTGACCGGAGGTGGACGTCCCTCCCCCTCCATGGTCCTCCTGCCCTCTCACCCCTCTGCCTCTCTCCCTGGCAGATTGACTATTTCAACAACCAAATCATTGTGGACCTGGTGGAGCAGCCCCACAAAGGCATCGTGGCCATCCTGGACGAGGCGTGCCTGACGGTGGGAAACGTCACCGATGCCCTCTTCTTAGAGTCCATGAACGCCCGGCTCAGCAAGCACCCTCACTATGCCAGCAGGAAGGTAGGCAGGGCAGGGCGCCCACCCACCCCCTCTGTGTGTGGGAAGGGCCTTTGGCACCCATGCCTGCAATGTGGAGGGGGCTTCCCCTCTTCTTGACAAACCGCCTGGGTGAGGAAGGCTTGGACTGTTTCCTTTTAAAGGGAAGCATGAGCAGAACGTGGCCGTGTTGCTGGGGATCCTGGGCTTTGTAGTTGTCCAAAACAGGGTTTCCCAGCTCCAAGCAGAAGCCGTCCCCCACACCTGCCCGTTCGGGCCAATGTGGAACTGCAGGAAGATTTTCTAAGTTGTGGGTCAAGCACCACGTTTGCATGTTAGTAGCCAAGACGGAAGTGTATATTTTAGCACAAGAATTCCTCAAATCTGTACGTTGCAAAATAACTCCTCCCTGCCCAGGTTTGGTTTTGTGATTGGTCACAAGGAGGTGAACATGGGCTTCATTTGCATGTGAAACTTTTAAGAAGTTTTTAAGCCTCCTTGAGTGTTCTTTTTTTTCTAATGGATTTTTAAAAGACAGCTAAAGGTGGTTGGCAATGGCATCGTCTCTGGAGGGGAAAGGTTTCATCCCTTTTTAGTTTCAAAGCTGGTGTGGGATATTCTTGGCATGTGTAGATGCATCAGGGCCTACCTCAGGAATGGCCTCCTTGTTGTGAGAGTGCATTTTGTGAACAGAAATGCTGTTGAAACATCAGCCTCTTCATGTTTTCCCTTGTGTGTTTCCAGCTCAACCCTACGGATAAGTCCATGGAGTTTGGACGGGATTTCCGCATCAAGCACTACGCAGGAGACGTGACGTGAGTCTCTGCTGCCGGCCGCACGGTTTGATGACCATGTTCCTCCTTTGTTGGTGGGTGGCGGGAGGCTCGCGGCTCTGATTTCATTGGGGGGGACCGTGAATGTCTCTTTCCCCAGAGGAAAGATTCATGGGCCCAGACGCCAGGACACCAAGCAGAGCCTATAGGAAACTGTGAATCCCCCACACAAAGGGGGCCAGAGGCTGTTGAGCATGCCTTGAGCATCCGTGGGCATATTCCCAGCTGTCAGTGGAGCAGGCCTGGTTTCTCATGATTCAGCCACTCCAGGAAGTCTTGGGGGGAAGTCACAAGAAAGAGGTTTCCTGTTTGCATTACACAGAGAGAGACAGAGACAGAGACAGACACACACCTCTATGGCTTTCTTGTTCCCTTGCACATTTCAAGGACTCGTGAAGCCTCTCTCTAACTGTGTTATGTGTCCTCAGGTCACATCCTATGGGGATGCTTAGAGGGTTTTCAAGGCGTAGACGATATTTTAGGAGCTGTGTTACCAGTATCATCCCACTGCCCCCCCACTTCCAAATGAGTTTCCAAGCAAGCAGGGTTCTGAACCCCAAACCCTGGAGTCCTACTCCATCGCCCGCTGGACCTCACTGAGTCTCTTTCGACTGGACTAAATGCCAAGGGGGACCTTTACCTTTACCTACCCCACTCCCTGTGGGTGTGGATGACACAGGCAGGAGAGGATCGGTCTCTTTGCATCTGTCTTTTTGGTTTTTTTTAAAGGTATTCTGTGGAAGGCTTTCTGGACAAGAACAAAGACACCCTTTTCCAAGACTTCAAGCGACTGATGTATAACAGGTAGCCCGGCCTGAGCTGATGGGTTTGGGGGGATACGGATTTTGCCAAGGTTCCCCAGAGGGCTTTTGCCAAAGTTGCACCATGAATTATAAACTCCCAGAAGCTTGTTTCTATCACAAATTTCACTTTTATTGGGGACTAGAAATATTGGTGGCCCCAGGCCTGAATAACAGCCATGTTCATTGGGGAGAGGATCCTTGAACTCATAGTCTAGAACGGTTACAGTGGTACCTCGCTAAACGATGACCCTGCTAAACGACTAATCCACATAACAATGACTTTTTGAGATCGCTGTAGCGATTCGCAAAACAGTCATCCCAATGGGGGATTTTCGCTAGACGTCAAATAGGTCCGTGCTTCGCGAACCGTTTGTTCGCAAGACAACGATTTTTTCCGATGATAATTAGCTTCGCAAAATGGCTGTCCTGTGTTTTCCGGACCCATGCTTCGCAGGGCAGCCATTTTTACAGCTGATCGGCGCTCGCAGAATGGCTTGCCTATGGGCGATCTTCGCTGGACGACGAGGTATTTTCCCCATTGGAATGCATTAAATCGGGTTTCAATGCATTCCAAATGGGAAAGGGTTTTCGCATGATGACGATTTTGCTAAACAGCGATTTTCACGGGATGGATTATCGTTGTCATGTGGGGCACCACTGTATTTCTCTGAACATCAGTTTGTATCTGTCCCAAGTCCACATCCTCGTGTCTAATCTCTAGCAGGGAGAGCAGGGGAGAGGGAACGCTGGCTGGGGGATTCTGGAAGTCGTAGTCCACACATTTACAGACTCAGGGTCCCATCCTTGTCCTCTGGTGGCCATGGCTCTCCAGATTTCTTCCATTGCTTGTTCTCGACGCTTTTTGCTGGAGATGCTGCTGATGGTAGAATGGGGGGACATTCCTCATGCACAGCAGATGCTCTTTCGCCGAGATTCAAGTACCTGGACGATGGGGTTCTCGATGCTTCCTAGGGAGTTGGCCGGGCTCCCACCCCAAAGTTTTGTCCCACAGCACACTCACTTTGGGGCTCAGCACGAGGCAGGGATCGAAGGGGCGAGAGAGTCCTCGCGTGGGCGCATCCCTCTGGGGCCTGCTCTCACTCTCTCCCTCCCTTTCTCTGGTCTCCTCCCAGCACAGACCCTGTCCTGCAAGAGATGTGGCCCGAAGGCCAGCAGAGCATCACGGAGGTGACCAAACGGCCTCTGACAGCCGCCACCCTTTTCAAAAACTCCATTGTGGCCCTGGTGGAGAATCTGGCTTCCAAGGTAGCGATGTGGTGGCCACCGCGGTCTGGCTCGGGAGGTCTTTATCGTCATGGGTTGGCAATGACACAGAGCCTGCCTCCCATCAGGAAACGGTTAAGCTGTTTCATTGATAAGGACTGTATTTCAACGGCCATGGGCGTTCTCGGCTTCTTCTGCCTCCGTGGTCAAAACAATACCTTGAGGGACGGGAGGTGCAAGGCCCTTTTGCTCACTGCAGGGGGGCTTTGGCGGCTTCACCTCAGACAGCCAGATCTTTGGGGCCGGCTCTTGATGGAGGAAGCGGCCCTCCTCTGAAATTCGCCCACCTGACCCCTTGATTCCTCCCGCCCCCCTTTTCTTGTTCTGCAACAGGAGCCGTATTACGTCCGATGCATCAAGCCCAACGAACAGAAGTCGCCTTCGCTGTTTGATGAGGAGCGCTGTCAGCACCAGGTGGCTTACCTGGGCTTGCTGGAGAATGTCCGTGTCCGAAGGGCAGGTTTTGCTTACAGGCAGCCTTATGACCGCTTCCTGCTCCGGTAGGCCTGGTTCTGCCTGCCCCCCCCAGTCTTTCCCTGCACACCCATCGCAAAAAGAATCCAGATACTGTATTCGCGAAGGCTTTCACAGCTGGGATCTAATGGTTGTTGTGGGTTTTTCGGGCTCTTTGGCCGTGTTCTGAAGGTTGTTCTTCCTAATGTTTCGCCCGTCTCTGTGGCCAGCATCTTCAGAGGACAGCATCCAGAGCACTGAAGGCTGCCTGCAGGGTTGCAAAAACTCCAACAGATACAATGTTTGGGAACTCAGAATTGTGCATGCCTATGTGGAATTTTATCTTCTTTAAAAACAAAACTCGCTTCCAGAGAGGGCTGAGAGAAGAGCCAAAACTCCAGATACTGCACCAATACACGATATGTTTCCTGGGACTAAAATTCTATGGGATCACACAAGCTTCAGGGTTCTTTAGGACCGTTCACTAGACCAGGGGGTCCGGAAAGTGTGGGAAAAGAGTGTTCGAAATAGGGAAGTCCAAAAATGCGGCCATGGGGTTGTCTGTCACTAATTTGAATAAATTCTGGGGCCCTGCCTTTCTTCCTCCGGCTCCTTGGAGGAAGACACGCACCTGTTTTGCTAATAATATTGCAGAGTTTTGAATTTCTCCAGCTGAGCAGCAGAAGTGCAGGAATCCATACAGCAGAATAGCTGTAACTTCTCCAGAGTAGTCCACCCCTCCTCCCTTTTTTTTATCATCTGGTACCTGTACTTACATTCTCAATAACTCTGAGACATCAGTAGGAGAAAGGAAAAAAAGGTTTCATGACTTAACAATAGAACAGATCAAACAGCAGACTGACAAACAGGACCGCTTTCAGCGACAGACTTTAGCAGGCTCCTGACCGCGAACAAACCATGGGGGGGGGGGGATGGGGACAGGCAGAGCAGAGAGGGTCTCGGCATTCAGTGGCAGGGAAGGAATGATGGGTTTAGTGCTGGAAAGATTGACCGTCAAAGATCGACAACTCAGAAAGGTTTCTCCCAGCCAAACCTACTGAAGGCAGCCTGCAGAGTTTCAAAAACTCCCAGCAGATACCATGTTTGGGAACTCAGAACTGTCCATGCCTATGTGGAATTTTATCTTTAAAAAAAAACTCGCCTCCTTTTTAAAAGGCGTGCTCCAGAGAGGGCTGAGAGAAGAGCCAAAACATTCCTTGCGGGCATCACACCCCCTTCTCTCTTCCCAGATAAGTGCCACTTTGGAAGACCATGCACTTTGGAAGAACAAGAAGAGCCACGTTTAAGTGGCTGCCGTGGTCTCGAGGGACCTTCTGACTGGCTTCCTTCCTGCTTTAGGTATAAGATGACCTCGGAGTACACGTGGCCCAATCACCTCATGGCCACGGACCGGGAGGCCACGGAGACCCTAATCTCACAGCACGGCTTCCAAGAGGACGTTGCCTACGGGCGTACGAAGATCTTCATCCGCACCCCTCGGACGCTCTTCCTGTTGGAACAGGAGCGGGCTCAGTTGATCCCCATGTTGGTGTTGCTGTTGCAGAAGGTACCCGGAGATTGTGTGCCTGTGTGTGTGTGAGAGAGGGAGACTGTGGTTGGGTGTGGGTGTGAGAGAAGAACGGAGAAAGAAAACAGGGATGGCAAATAATAGCTATCAAGAATGGAGACACCTCAAAGAAAGAGAGGGTGGGACAGCTGTGAATTTCTGGGTCAAAATAAGGTAGCTGAGGATGTGCAATAATTAACAGCCTTCCTCAACCGGATGGCTTCCAATGGTTTTGGTCTACAATACCCATCAATCTCATGATAGATGATCTTTGAGGAGGTGAACATAGTTCCATGCAGTGTAGTTGTTTCAGATGCACAAGGTTCAGTCTGTAATCTCTTAAGGTCAAAGGTGGAATCAATTAGCAAGGGACCAAAAAGACCCAGAAATCATAAGTAATTAGTTAAGTAAGGATTTGAAAAATAAGTTGCTGGATTCCTCATTATCCCCAGTTCTGGCCATCCTGGCGTGATGAGATGCCACCATGACTAGTTTTTAAGTCTTGCAATGTTTCTTGCCTCCAGCGTGAGAGTGAGACTAGAGGCACTTCCCCCCCCTCCCATCAGCCTCTCTACAATTTCTGCCAAATTTCTCTGTAAAAATGGGGTACTTTCTGTTTGGAAAGCAGTGCACACACACCACACACATGTCACAAAGGGAGGCTGGCTGATTGTGCAAAAAATCATGCCATGTTGTTCATCAAGAGCAACAGAAAATGTCTCAAGTTTTGCAAGCAAGGAGAATAATTTTGCAGTCTCTCAACCTTGCATGTGAGATGGAGGCTGGCAAAGATTTATATTCCTAGTTACAAGTAACTGAGTCATGTGATCAAATGGGTATTTAGTCTACTGTCAGGGCCAATAGAGGGACTGGTTAGTTTGCTCTTTCTGACAGTGATCACACAATGTAATTGCTGAAGTGAACCAAGTCAGTGAACCACAGTGTTCCTACCCACATCTTTATGGTCCCTATCAGGGGCTTCTACTATTTTGATGTGGGCAGGATTGCTGTGGGTTTGGTCTGTTGCTAGCATGTGTATCTACTGGGAATAGACCAAAGGTGAGCCTTTGGCCAATGTAGTGGCTTAATAAAGCAGCTACTTCAGTATATTGGCAAATCAGTCACTTCCTCAGCTCCATGGAGGGGCAGAGGAAGTGAGAAACATTTTTTTTAAAAAAGTGTTCATTTGACAGCAAATATTTGCTGCAATATTTGTGTGTTCAAAGTGCAGGACACATAATAATGAGCTCAAGCTACAGGAAGCCAGAATTAGGCTGAGTATAAGGAAAAACCTAAGAGTTAGAGCAGTACAACAATGGAACCCTTGACCTTGGGAGGTGGTGAGTGCTCCAATCCTGGAGAGAGAAAATTGGACCACCCACCTATCCTATCTGCCTCGACTTGGATTCCTTCCTTGATCAGGGGGTTTCACCTGATGGCCTTAAAGGCCTCTTCCCACTCCATAATTCTAGGATTCTATGCATCACATTAAATGGAACGCTCTCTCTTGGAAGCGTTTCTTGCTTTGTTTTTCCAAGTCCATTCGAGAGCATGCCCAATTTGGCTGCAGGAGGGGGAAGCAATGGGGCACTGGGGTTTTGCTGACCAAGATCTGACTTATCTGTCTGCCCTAGGTCTGGAGAGGGGCTTTGGCCCGCAAGCGCTGTCGCTACCTGCGGGCTGTCTACACCATCATGGCTTACTACAAGCGCCACAAGGTGAAGGCCTACCTGCGGGAGCTCGTGCAGCGCTTCCAGGGGGTGCGAAGCATGCCCGACTATGGCAAGAAGGTAGAGTGGCCAGAGCCGCCGACTGTGCTGGCCGACTTCCAGAAGACCAGCATGCGCATCTTCCGCAGGTATGCAGCAGGAGGCAGGGTGGGGCACAGATGACGCTTCCCCACCTTGAGTCACCCAGGTGTTCTTGGACTGCAACTCCCAGACGTCTTCGCCACGAGTTGGGGTTTCTGGGAGTTGCAGTTCAAGAACACCTGGGTGACCCAAGGCTTGGAACCACGAGTGTAGTGGATAGAGTCACCGACTAGAACTCAGAAGGGCTGAGTTCAAATCTCTGTTCACCCATGGAAACTCACGTGTGGATCCACTCTTTACAAATATCTCGCGTACTTTGAAAGCCCGATTAGGCTCTCTCTAAGTTGGACGTGATGGCGCTGTGGGCTAAACCGCAGAAGCCTGTGCTGCAGGGTCAGAAGACCAAGCAGTCGTAAGATCGAATCCACGCGACGGAATGAGCACCCGTCGCCTGTCCCAGCTCCCGCCAACCTAGCGGTTCGAAAGCATGCAAATACGAGTAGATAAATAGGGACCACCTCGGTGGGAAAGTAAAACAGTGTTCCGTGTCTAAGTCGCACTGGCCATGTGACCACGGAAAGATTGTCTTCGGACAAACGCTGGCTCTATGGCTTGGAAACGGGGATGAGCACCGCCCCCTAAACTTTGAAAGCCCGAATAGGCTCGCTCTAAGTTGGTTCCAATGGGGGCGGCACATACAGGACATAGATCCATGGCCAGGCGTCTCCCTGAGGAGGGGCCAGGTGAGATCCCCCCAGAGGGAGCATGGGCGGCTGGTGATCCCCCATGCCACTGGCATGGCCGTGGACCTCCAATGGGGGCGGCACATACAGGAGATAGATCCATGGCCAGGCGTCTCCCTGAGGAGGGGCCAGGTGAGATCCCCCCAGAGGGAGCATGGGCGGCTGGTGATCCCCCATGCCACTGGCATGGCCGTGGACTAGCTGCGCGGTGGTCCCAGAGTGCCACCAGACGTGGCAAACCACTTCTGAGCCCTTCATACCTAGAAAGCCATGGAAAAGTCCCCTTGCGTTGGAACAGCGCCTAAGAATGATTCTTGCCCCTCACTGTGAGTGGCTGGGAAGTTTTTTGGGGGGGTTGTCGTTCCCCAAGCAATTTTTCTAAGCTCTGTCTCGGAAGCCCACCTTCCGGCTCCTCCTTTCGGTGCTATCGAGCACCCCCCCCCAACGGAGCTTTGCGGGCAGCCCCTCTCTCGTCAGGTGCGTCTGGAATAGGTGTCGCTGGGAGAGCCCAATAGAGCTTTTCCTGGATTCTCCTGCAGGTGGAGGGCCCAGCTGATCGTCAAGAACATCCCTCCCTCCGAGATGGACCAGATCCAAGCCAAGGTGGCCGCCCTCAGCGCCTTGCAAGGCCTACGGAAAGAGTGGGGTTGCTGCAGACCCTGGGAGCGGGACTACTTGCTCTCGGTAAGCATTCAGTGGCCCAGGAAGGTTGAGACTTGTTTCTCACATACCAAGTGGCCCTCCTTTGTCAGTCGGCCCTGATCCTGAGGATTTCTCCTCCAGGGGGAGTTGCCACCCTGAAATGAAGCAGGCAGAAAATAGAAAGAAAGAACGAAAAAACAAAGCAAAAGTGTGGTGTTTTTATACCACCCCCTAGTGCTTAAGGCTCTCCTTGGGTCATTTACAATTTAATTATGTAGGCTACACATTGCTCCCCCCACCCCCGGGGCCAGTGAGCCAGGTACTCAATTCACCAACGTCAGAAGGATGGAAGGCTGAGTGAACCTCGAGCCAGTTACGTGGGATCGAGCCTGCGGGGTGAGAAAATTTTTCGCTGCAGTACTGCAGTTGAACCACTGCGCCATGAGGCAAGCTTCATGCACCCCATAACCCATAACCACTTCATCGGGGGCACCAGGAACAGCTCCCCACGTCTTACCTTCTTAACCAGCCAGATGACATGCTGGGATAGAACGCCTTCCATAAAGTTGGCGTTCAAGAAGAGGCCATTTTGACAGGCACAGGAGGTGCGGGAAGGCGGTTTTCTCCCTCACTAAACTCTCCTAAAATAATTGTTAAACTTTTTTTTTCTAAAATGGGAATGAATGGAAGTTTCCTTCCAGTGGGGTTTATATTTTTTTAAAACCTGCCATTTTTCTTTCCTCTAAACCCAGCGTGTCTTCCTTTAGAGTACAAGCGATGCTTCTGGAAGTTTTTCCATTTTTTTTTCTTTGGAACAAAAGAAAAGTAATTATTTTGGTGCGTTGTCCTGGAGGGCAAAAAGAAAAAAGAAAAAAGGGAAAAAAAAAGCCCAACCACCCAGCAACCCCTAAAGGGGCAGGGGTTCTGTGTATTTTTGGAGAAGCGGCACACGCCGAAAGATTCCCTTCTGTGCTCCTCTAAAGACGCAGGAGGACTAACTCCTACGCTCAGGTTCTGGACCAGATGAAGCCGCCTCTCTGAGTTCAGCCGAGTTCTAGTTTCCATAGAAACCGCTGGGGCTTCTTTTTTAAAAAGCCCAGTTCCACCTCCTCCTCCTCTCTATTGGATCCGTGTCTCTCTCTCTCTCTGGTTCCCCCAAACACCCCCTTGCTTCTTCTTCTCCATCATCTTGTGTCACCTGCATGGACTGTTCTCTTCTCTAGCTGGGAGGAAGGTCCCATTTCAGCGCCCCTTGCTCACTATTCTGTGCAAACCAGAGGCTGGCAGCTTTGGGACCATATTTTCTACCCCTCCCAGACTTTTCAGTGGGACACAGAGCTTGCCAAACATTTTTAAGACAAAGCAGGTGGAATTCGCATCTGGTGGGGTAAAATAGGTATATATTTATTATTATTTTTTGTTCAATCAGGCAGGGAAACCCTGCAAGTTCTGTCAAAAGCTGAATTGTTCCCCTGGAGGCTTCCGGGAGGCCAAAATCCAACATGCACACCCGCCCGCCCCTCCGAGACCATTTTTGGCATGGGGATGGGGAGGAGGAGCATACAAAAATATCTTGGGGTTCCATAAGTGGCCCCGAGGCTGTGATTCACCCACTGTGAATCATAGTCCCGGGGGAAGAGAAGAGTCCGTCGCAGGAAGAGAAAGCCTACGCATGACTCAGGGTGTCAGCGGGGGGGNCCGATCGATCGGCGTGTGGCGTGGGGGGGGGGGGGGGGGAAGGCTAGGACATGAATCAGCAGGACGAATGGTGTGCTTTGCCATAGCCACCATGGCCATGGTCATTACGAAGAAGAAATAAAGCCATAGAATGATTGAGTCATTGAATCGTGGAACTGGAAGGGGCCTCAAGGCAGGAAGCCACATCAATGCAGCTCTGACAGAGGGTGGTCCGATTTTTCCCTTGAACACCTCCAGCGCTGGAGCCCTGCTCACCGTCTCCCCTTGAGGTCATGGGTTCCGTCGTCGTACTGCTCTAACAGTTAGGAAGTATCACCTGACGTTCAATGGAAATCTGGCTTCCTGTCACCTGAGCCCATTGTGGCGTGTCCTGCAACCTGGGATGATTGAGAACACATCCTGTCCCTCCTCTGTAGGACAGTCTTTCAAGTCTTTGAAAAGAGCTCTCCTGTCTCTCTTCCGTCTTCTTTCCTCAAGGCTAAACCTGCCCAGGGCTCTCCTATCTCTCCTCCTCCTTCTTTCCTCAAGGCTAAACCTGCCCAGTTATTTCCATCTTTCCTCAAAGGGCTTGGTTTCTAGCTCCCTGTTCATCCTTGTTGGATAACAATCCTTAGCATTCATATGATGCCTTTTTTGAGGATTGAGAGGCTTCGTCTTCGCTGCAGGAGAGGCTCTGTTTTCCATCCAGTACCTCAGGAGAGACCTCATCTGTCTGGGAGGCTATAGTTTGGCAGGTCAGTCTGGATGACCTCGGAGATCCTTCTGCTGACGCTCTGAACCGTTGCTCTCCCCCCCATTATTTTGCAAGCTAGCTTCTGATGCCATGTTGTGGTTGTAGCTCAGTGCTTCTCAAGGACCTTCTTTAGTTCAGGATTGTTATCTCATCACAACCGCAATTCGGAGGGGAGGCAAGTGCTCAGCAGAGCCCATACCTGTTACTTGTTTCGGACAACCTCTCTCCAGATCTGGGAGTTGCAATATAGAAGGGGTGAGGTTCCCAGGCTCTGCGTCTTTAGAATCGGTTGACCGTGCTCTGCTTTTTTGGGGGGCCAGCCCCCTTTTTGAAGTCTGGGGTTTTGCTCTCCGTTCGCAAATCTTGCCATGCATTGTGTTATGGCTGACCACGTTCGGCTGTCTGCCCTCTTTCTCTTGATCTTTATTATCCCTAAGGAAGATTGTACTAAAAAATTACTTAGAAAACCATTAAAAAAAAAAGAGGAAGCCGTTTGTTGTCCACAGAGAAAGGAAGGGAAGGGGGAAGCGCAATCACACATAGACGTCCAAAGAAAATTAGTAAATTAAACTTAGCTTGTTACCCAGTACTTTATGTATGAAGAGTTCTTTGTAGGAAAGCGATTCTGTAAGAGTCCCTTTGAACTTCTGATTTTGATGTTTCTTGGGGGCAGCTAAATTCCGATGTCATGTTTTCACCCATTAATGGGAATTTGAAACCCAAAAAGGCCAGTTTGTTAATCAAAACAGGCTGGGTTTTTTTTGTCCTATAGAGAGAGAAGGTGCATCTCTGATGGAACTGGACTAGACAGCTAGTCAGAGGTTAGTTAAGATGTTGTTCCTTCTACCTTTCAAGCAATTCTAGGCTTAATTGATAGAAGGCTGAGCCAGTTCAGGCCATCTAAGATATGGGGTGGGGTGGAGAGATTAGTTTGAAGATAGGTGTTAGGAAATAAAAATACAGAATCGCTCTGTATTCAGGAAAAAAATTCTCAACTGTTAGAGCAGTATAACAATGGAACCAATGACTTTGGGAGGTGATGAGCGCTCCAATGCGGAGGCATTCAAGAGAAATAATGGAAGAACTGGGCACATTTATCCTTGAGAAAAGAAAACAGAAGGGAGACAGGAGAGCACTTTTCAAATACTTGGAAGGGAGTCATCCAGAGGAGAGGCAGGATCTGTTCTTGGTCATCCCAGAGTGTGAGATATGCAATGATGGGCCCAAGTTACAGGAAGTCAGATTTCGATAAAATATCAGGAAAAACTTCCTAACTGTTAGAGCAGTACAATAATGGAACCAATTATGGACTTTGTCTAGAGGGGCGGGGTATAAGTCTAAATAAAGTAAAGTAGAGTAAATTACCTTGAGAAGTGGGGAGCACTCCAACGCTGGAGGCATTCAAGAGAAATTTAGACAACCACCTGGCAGATATCCTTCGATTTGGATTCCTGCCTTGACCAGGGGGGTTGGACTTGATGGTCTTAGAGGCCCCCTTCCAACTTCATGGCTCTATGATTTCACGATAGTAGTGACCGCAGGAGTATGAAACCACAGATGCTCTGGGGCGGGTGGGCATTGTTGGTCCATTCAGATTGAGGAGAGGTTATTCAAAGATGGGGTGCCCCTGAACCTATTATTATTGTGATCACAGATGGAGCTACCCCTATTAATTTAAAAAATTCCCTCTGAAAGCCGCCTACTTGTGCCTGTGCCTGTTCACTTCGGCTTTTCTGGTGCCCTCTCCATTTGTTGGTTTCAGTTCTGGCTCTCCCTACTCAGCAGGGCCACCCCCCATTTTTTGCCACCAGGATCCGACACAAGGCCACCCAACTTCTAACATGAGGAGAGCAACGCAAGCGACCAGATAGTTAATGGCTTTAAAAGAGGTGGCTTTTTAGTTTACTAACTGTGTAAAGAAAGCAAAGACCAGGAAGTTATGTATGTCACACGGAGCAGTAAACAGCAGAGCGCAGAGATGGGGGAAAACATCAGCATAAAACATTTATCAAAGCAATATAAATAAGACTATAAAAATAGCAGCGGCAAACTCCATACTGGCGGCACCCTAATGGAGCCATCAAACGCTGGCGGAAAACATTTCAGCAGGTTTCGGCCGGCTCTCTCCAAATCCTAACGGAAGAGAACAAATTTGACTATGAATCTCTCTTGAGCTGTGAAATATCAGGTCCTCCTTCATGGAGGGGTTGAAGAGAGCTCCTCTTAAAATACGCATTAGAACCCAGGGAGCTTTTGCAGCTTCTACCAATTTGGACTAAATAACCCCTCAAGAAATAAGGCTCTAAAGCAAAATGTTGTTTTGAATGTGAGACTTAGGACCGTCATTCTTTGCTGTCCTTTCTAGCCACCTGATCTATTTCCCCCTTTTCCTGGGCACTTTGGCCTTCTCTTTGAAAAGACAAATGTTCACTGAATGTTGCAAACATTGGTTTTTTGGACTACCACTCCCAGAATGCCTCAGGGTGCACAGACATTGCTAGCAGGGAGGAGGATTAGGGATGTTGTAGTACAAAAAGGGGACGTGGTGACGCTGCGGGTTAAACTGCAGAAGCCTCTGTGCTCCCAGGTCGGAAGACCAGCCATCGTAAGATCCAATCCATGCGACGGAGGGAGCTCCCCTCGCTTGTCCCAGCTCCTGCCAACCTAGCCGTTCGAAAACATGTAAAAATGCGAGTTGATAAATAGGGACCACCTCGGTGGGAAGGTCATGGTGTTCCGTGTCTAGTCACGCTGGCCACGTGACCACGAAAACGGTCTATGGACAAAATGCTGGCTCTATGGCTTGGAGACGGGGATGAGCACCGCGCTCTAGAGTCGGACACGACTGGACTAAAATGTCAAGGGGAACCTTTACCTAGTGCAAAAAGGAAACTTTACCAGGCTTGGATGTTTATCTGCTGTCAGCCTTGAGGTTCCCCACCTCCAGCCTGCTGATGTCCCCCCCCCCCATGGGTGTCTGTCTGTCTGGACGGAACTCTGGTCCAGCTGCTCCTCCACAGCCCGGCGGTGATGTGGCAGGAGAAGAAGGCAACGTTCAGCTCCCCGGTCACCAAACTGGCCTGGCTTGAGCAGGTGTTCCCTCACCCCTGCGAGCAACGTCTGTCCCTGGTTTCAACTCCGTGGCGACGTTGGCAGCCGGCCCGGATCAGCGGAGAGCCGTCTCTGCACTCCTCTTTTAACCGGCGTGTTCGTCCCAGACAGCACGTCGACGGTTCCAGACTGGGTGGGAAGAGGGGACAGCCCGTATGTGTGGTGGTTTCAGGGGGGGGCAGCTGGAGGGGGGGAGAGCTGTCTGTGGAGTGCCGGCAAATGGGGGGGAAGCCATGTAATGTGAGTAGCACCCCCTGCTGCAGCCATCTGTTGAATCCAGGGCTAGTTTTGGAACAACAAATGTCAACCAGCTCTAGGGAAAAGGATTTATCTATATTTATTTATTTATTTATTTATTTTATATCCCGCCTATCTAGTCAATTAAGACCACTCTAGGCTAGGAACTCTAGGATGCTTTCAGATGACACATGTCAGGATCCCCTACCGAGAAAGTCTGACACACATGTGGCTGGAGGATTTATAGGGTTGTCATCTTAAAAAGAATGTGCTTCTAGTGGTTGTGGTGGGTTTTTCGGGCTCTTTGGCCGTGTTCTAAAGGTTGTTTTTCCTAACGTTTCGCCAGTCTCTGTGGCCATGAGCATCTTCAGAGGACAGCACTCTGTCTGTAGTTGGCTAGGGAGCTAGGGAGCTAGCCAACTACATCAGATACTGGAAAAATGCTGTGCTTCTAGCATCAGCATTTTTCCAGTATCACCTTTCTGTATTCAGCATCGTCCATCTGTGTCTATCTACCTATCTGTCTACACAGGACATGAAAGAGTGCCCTGGTCTCCTCCAATCTGCTGGCCTCCAGGGGATAACAACTCCCAGCTTTCCTGCTTCTTGGACTACAAGTCCCATCTTTCCTTCCTAGCATGGCCCCAGGGCAGGCTCCTTCTGTGTCTTGAGGGTCGTGGCTGGCTGGCTGAGCTGGCAGGCCGTGCTCCAAGCATCGCGGGCTGGGATCCTGGCCGCCTCAGAGCCGCCGAGGGGGTTGAACCATCTGTGGTAGGAGAGCAGGAGGGAAAAAAAGGGCCTCCCAAAAAGAGGGGACCCCCCCCAGAGGGGCCAAGGGATGCAGGAGAGCCCTAAGAAAGGAGAGGTCCAGACAAGGAAGGCTGGCCAGCCGAAAGAAGAGATCGGTTTGGGTTCAGGCTGGTGCCAAAAAGGAGAAGATGCCTGGCTCAGAAAGGGGTCCCTTCCGCTCGGATGTCCTGCCCCAGAAGGCTGCAGTGGGCGGTGCAGGATCCGACCCCTCTTCTCCTGCAGGATCCCCCTTGTCCCAGCCTGGGGGTCACAGGGACGTCTGGATGAGCAGAATAATGAAGTCATCCTGCCCTCCCTTCCCTTCATTTAATTCTGGAGGGCAGCGGCCCTCCTCCACCCCACGATTCCCCCGTGGGGATGGAATCAGCTGCGCTGCCAGGACCCGCTGGGGCGTCTGGAAGAAAATGGGCCACGGGTGCGTGTTCACCAGGGCTGCCACAAGAGGTGCGTGGGAGAAGACTTCACAAGAGCATATGGGGGGAAAAATAATTCCCCCCTCACACACACACATAGTCTCCATGGTGATGCCTCCCCAACCCGAGTCCTCTAAGGCAGGAGAGAGGAGTTGCATGAGGGGGCCGCCCCTTTCAGGCTTGGCTGTCTGCTCACCAGCGATGGGGATGGAGTCGGCTGAAACAGAATCACCTAGCCCATCGCCCTCCTCCCACCACCACCACCACTCTGCTCCCAGGCACAGGGGAAACGCTTCCCTCAGTGCATACCACGAAGGCTCAAAGGAAGCTGCCCGGGAGCCAGCGTAGACCCACCATCCCTTGAGCTCTGGTGTTTTCACCAGATTTTCCAAACCAGCAGCCTTCCGTGTGGGCTGGGCTTGGACTACAACTCCCATAAGCCCCAGCACCCCTTAATCCCTATGGGACAAATGCAGAAGAGAGGGTGTGTGGCTAGAACCCTTCTTTCTGATTGGATTTACACTTCAAGAATGTGCTGTCCTTCGCTGGGAGTTGTTGTTATTATTGTTATTGTTGTTGTTACCCCTTAATCCCTATGGGACGAATACAGAAGGGAGGGTGCGTGGCTTGAACCCTTCTTTCTGATTGGATTAACACTTTCAAGAATGTGCTGTCCTTCGCTGGGAATTATTATTATTATTATTTTAAATGTGGGACCTTCTCCTGCTATCAGATGGGATGTGCTCTACTACTTTATTATGTGGGACCTTCTGCTATCAGATGGGATGTGCTCTACTACTTTACCACTGACGGACTTGATTGTCCCGTTCTACTGCATGTAACCCTTCTGAATGTTGTTGCTTAGTCGTTAAGTCTTGTCCAGCTCTTCGTGACCCCACGGGCCAGAGCATGCCAGGCCACCCAGTCTTCCACGCTTCGATGACCATGGCCATCCATCTCGTCCTTGGTCGTCCCCTTCTCCTCTTGCCCTCACACTTTCCCAACATCAGGGTCTTTTCCAGGGAGTCTTCTCTTCTCATGAGAAGGCCAAAGTACTGGAGCCTCAGCTTCAGGATCTGTCCTTCCAGGGAGCACTCAGGGTTGCATTCCTTCAGAACGGATAGGTTTGTTCTCCTTGCAGTCCAGGGGACTCTCAAGAGTCTCCTCCAGCACCAGAGTTCAAAAGCATCCATTCTTTGGCGGTCCGCCTTCTTTTATAGTCCAACTCTCACTTCCATACCCCTCCGAATAGGAAAGGCATAATTCTGTGTCCCTCCTCCTCCTGGACTCCTTCTCCCTCCTTGATCCACTAATTCTACAGCTTGTGTTCTCTTTTTCTTCCCCCAGGTCCGTGAAAACCCCACCATGGCCACCCAGTTTGCAAAACGGGTGTCAGCCTTGAAGGACAAAGTGCACTTCAACGCTGTGCTCTTCTCATGCCACGTCCGCAAGGTGAGAGCCGCAGACTTCAGGGTCTCAACACTGGACACACCCCAGAACTAGATCCAATTAGCAGTTAATTCCCCCAACCCCCCCAACCCCTGGGAGCCCCAAGAATGAAGCCTTTCTGACTGGCACCTTGGGAAGTGTAGCGCTGAGCACTGGCACGACACTGTAATTCCCAGGGTCCTTGAAGGGAAACCTGGCAGCTAAACTGATGTAAAACGTGTTTCGTTGTAAGGCATCCAACCTAGCATTCTAATGCACACTGAAATGTTCTCTTGCTAGGACGTCCTGCGAACTGTCAATCTCTGGTAGGTGCCTAGAGTAGGTAGATTGCAGCTCCTTCGCCACACTATGATTCCCAGAATTCTTTGCGGGAAACACCTGACAGTTAAACTAGCGGAAAACCCATCTCCACAGCCTTGAGACGCAACGCCTTCTGGGTCAGACTGAAACTAGGTCTTGATCCTGCATCACTGCAGAAGGTCCTGGCTTTCTTGTTGGCCCCCTCTGGGGGAGGAAAGCTGCTGTCAGCATCCCCCGACCTCTCCCCTTCCGGATCTGTTGTGCTAGGGTTCCCACCAGCCCAGCCAGCATGTTGTCTGGGGATCATGGGGCTTGTAATCCTACCCATTTGGAGAACACGCGGCTAGGAAAAGGGTGGCCAAGATACACCTGCATGGGCAAAACCAGTTCAGTGGTTGGGGCAGGAAATTCCAGACAGACGGCATCCGCCGGCTTGACTCGTCTTTCTCTGAAGGTCTGGCTCCAACCTCCGGTTCCAAAGGTTATGGTGTTCTTCTTCACCCCCCCTTCCTTCCTTCCCTCCCTCCCTCCCCCTGGGACTTTTTGGGGTTCCTTCCCACCACCCCTTGCAGATCAACCGCTGCAACAAGAGCACCGACCGAGCCATTCTGATCACAGACCAGCACCTGTACAAGATGGACCCAAAGAAGCAGTACAAAGTGATGCGATCCGTACCTCTGAGCATGGTAAGAGGGACGACCTCTTGGAGGGCTAGCCGAGGGGGAACAGGCAGGACGAGAGGCTTCCGTGAGACCAAGATCGCCGCAGAGCCGGAAACTCAGGGCGGTTCCCTCCGGGATGGGGCCTCGTTGGCTTTCCAGAGGCTGGACAAGAAAGGCCTTTGGTCTCATCCCATGGGGCTTTTCTTATATTCGGGTTCTGAGGGCTGAAGGTTCTCAGGGCAGCGAAGCCTTGGACAGCCACAGGGACATGTTTGCCCCCCCCCCCGGGTGTGGCCTAGCCATAGCTGGCGGCGGGGGGTGGTGGAAGCGGCCATCCAACAGGTCTCCACCGCCCTCCACTGGAGAAGGCTGACACCCGACGTTGTCTTCACAGTTTCCTCAGCCCTCTGGTCCCATGTAAGAGACAGAGAGATGAGAGGGTTTTTTAAAAATTATTATTATTATTTTTCCAACCCTGCCAGGTGACAACAGTGAGCGTGACCAGCGGCGAAGATCAGCTGGTGGTCTTCCACACCCAGAACCAGGACGGCCTGGTGGTGTGCCTCCATAAAATGCAGCCGCCGGACGACAACCGGGTTGGGGAGCTGGTGGGCGTGCTGATGGACCACTTCAGAAGGTAGGCCGTTGTTCTTCGAGAAAGAGAAATGTCAGGTGCTAATTAATTACAGCACAGCCTAAAGGATGAGGGGGGGGGAAACACATGTCTGAAGATAATGCCTCCACCTCCCACTGGACAGCTGCTGCTGGGAGAGAGTTATTTTTGCCTTCCTTGTTGTAAGGCGGTTAGAGTGAAGCACAGAGTAACTTGGGAGGCTTGACACACAGGGGGGGAAAAGCTGAATTTGTCAAGCCTTATTATAGTAATGAAAATAGGGCTGTGTCTCTGCACCAGCCATATCCGGGGACACAGAGATCCTGTTTGCAAACACGCCCGGTCGTAGATGGGTCGGTGGTTTGGGATGACCTGCCTTGCAGTGGATCCTGGGCTGAGATGCGGGGAGATTTTTCACTTCCTTGGCTACAGAAGTGGTCAGAAGGGAGGTGATGTGAGGAAGGTTGGGTTCATCTCCAAGTGTGCAGCAGATGTGAGTTTCTTAGAACTTCCCAGGCAGCCCTGGAGTGTCTGGCAAGGGGCGCCCAAATGCACACATCCACACACCCCAACTTTTAATCCATTAAGTCTGCAGTCTTTTACTCCTTCCTCTTCATATGACTACTATTTGTTTGTTTGTTTGTTTGTTTGCTCCTTCCTCTTCATATGACTAGTATTTGTTTGCTTGCTTGTTTGCTTGCTTGCTTGTTTGCTTGCTTGTTTCCTTGCTTGCTTGCTTGTTTACTTGTTTGCTTGTTTGCTTGCTTACTTGCCTAAAACCATAGCACCAGAATATTCTGGGCAGGGTACATACAAAACATTTCTTGTAAAAAAAGAAAAAAGAAGCCCCACAATCAAATAAAGTATACGACCAAACAACAACGAAAGGAAATAAGACAGCACAAAGTGCTGATGGCACAGTTTGTCCAGGCAGCAGAACAGAGGTGGCTAAATTCAAAGCAGGCTCCCTTTGAAAGCATCTCGAAAGAGAAGCCTCTTCAGCAGCCTCTTATGAGTTTTATATTTCTTTCTTTCTCCTGTTTATATATCACCTTGTTAATGCAAAAGCAGTATTCTGGGTGGTTTAAGAAGTGAAATGCAAGGACAATTAAAAGCTCACACTCTTGAAGTTAAGGAGAGAGGAAATTTCCAGAGGCATGGTGCCACCCCCACCCCCCGAGAAGGCCTGATTTTCCCCTGAAAATTTGTTGGCCTCCTTCAGCGTAGGCACTTGGAGGAGCCTAGCCGGAGAGGGTCTGGTGGCGTGGGAGGGAGGGAAAACCTTGAGGACAGGTGCTCTCACAAGTACTACAAGTCCCACTACCCCAGCCAAGAGTCTAAGGGGTCATCCACCATATGTGGAGGGCACCAGATTAAGCCATAGCTGGAATCCACATTTATTTGCGAGTAAGCCCTGCTGGGTTTTCTAGCCTTGCGCTGTAAATCAAGGTGTGTCTCTGGCAGCTGATTTATTTATTTTATTTTTTTACAAAGGCACATGCCGTTCTCAAACCTTCGGCATCTCTGCGCGGCAACCAGCCTTGCCCCAGATTTCTGTGCTGAGCTTCTAATGGATTCATTCTCTGACGCTTTCTTAGGGCCAGACTTCCCACAGTATTTGGCTGCATGATTGATAAAGCCGCGAGATAATTTTGTTCCAACTGGGTGGGCAATAAGAAACACCAGCGATGAACAACATTTAGAGTGTCCGCTGTAGGTTTCATATGTTGTCTGGATGATCTCTTTCCCAAGAGCTTGAGGTGTTCAATATAATATGTAACGCTGTGTTACATCTTCCCAAAGTCTCTCCATCCTTTATTACAAACACAGCTGCGGAGCCTATAGTAGTTCCAGGCAGGAGAAATACAGGAGGGGACGGGGTTTCCAAACCTCTCCATCCAGCGTTGTTTTTTTCCTCATCAGAAAAGCTGCATTTCCTGGGATGCAGATATTGGTCTAAGTGGGCAATCAGAATTCTATGCAACGTCGTGGTGGAGTGGTTAAATTGCAGTACTGCAGCCAAAACCCTGCTCACAACTCGTGTTCAATCCCACGTAGCTGCCTTGAGGTTCATTCAGCCTTCCTTTCTTCCGAGATTGGTATAAACGGAGTGCCCAGCTCACTGGTGGGGGCGGGCGGGCAATGTGTAGCCTGCATAATTAAATTGCATTAAGAGAATGCTTTAAGTCCTATGGAGCCGTGTATAAGCAGCCAGGCTTGGCTTTTGGAGAGGTTTGTAGAGATTTGTGACAGAAGCAACACCCTGTTGAAAGCTAAGGAGCCCTTCCTTGCGCCGATCGCGTGCGGACAATTGCATCGGAGGCCTCTACAGTTTCAGGGCGGAAAAGCAGCATGCAACGGCCTCCTTCATGAGAATGCTGAATGCACAGGCAAAAAAGGAGACCTAGTATTAGCACCCAACCCTAACCCTTGACCTGCTCTCCCCCACCCACATCAATCCACCCCCTTGGGCACTGTGTAAAGGCACGTGGGTTCAGTTCCGCCCTCCCCTCCCGCTGTCTCTGGTGGAAACCCAGGAAAGGAGCCTGCGGCTGCGATCCATAATGCCACCCCCATCTGTGGTGGGATTAGTGAGAGGCGCTGTCGACCGGCTGCCGTGGGGCATTCTGGCACGAACCTGCCACCCGAGGGATGGAGCCGGGGAGTGGGCGTCTGAGCTGGGATTAGGCGTGAAGGACCGATGACCCAGAGACTCCCATTGATGGCTAAAGAAGTGGGTTCCTGCTGCCTCCGGCTTTTCCTAGCATTGTTATCTTTTTCCAACACTTCTTGCCTTCTCAGGATGTGCCCAAAGTAGCCCGAGTTTTATCATTTTTGTCTCTAGAGATAGTTCAGGCTTGACTTGATCTAGGACCGACTTGTTCATCTTTTTTTGTGGTCCAAGGTATCCGCAAAATTCTCCTCCAGCACCATATTTCGAATAAATCCGTATTTTTTTCTTGTTGGCTTTCTTTGCCTCCAGCTTTCACATAGTAATTGGAAATACCTTTGTATTGATTATCTTTTTATTGTTTTTGTCTCTAGAGATAGTTCAGGCTTGACTTGATCTAGGACCGACTTGTTCATCTTTTTTTGTGGTCCAAGGTATCCGCAAAATTCTCCTCCAGCACCATATTTCGAATAAATCCGTATTTTTTTCTTGTTGGCTTTCTTTGCCTCCAGCTTTCACATAGTAATTGGAAATACCTTTGTATTGATTATCTTAGTCTTTGTCTCTAGTGGGACATACTGACACTAACGATCATCTCTATTTCCTTCATAGCTGTCCTTCCGATTCTCAGTCTTCTGATTTCTTGGCTGCCGTCTCCCTTTGGGCTGATGATCGAACAGAGATCTACAAACTCTGTCGCTATTTCAATTTCTTCATGGTCAATGTTAAAGTGGTGTCATTCTTCTGTAGTCATGATTGTGGCCTTCTCCTTATTCAACTGCATCCTTGCCTTTCCCACTTTCTTCTTTCACTTTCCCTAAAAGCCATCCTAAGCCACTGTCGCTTTTTGCCCGTCCTACAGTACCATCTGCTCATCTTAAATTATTGACGTTTCTTCCACCACTTTTCATTCTGCCTTCATCAAAATCTAGTCCAACCTTCTGTACGATATATTCTGAGTACTGACTGAACAGACAGGGAGGGTGAAGTATACCATTTTCTGGCACATTTCCCACCCACCCCCCTTGAGCAAGGGGTTGAACTACTAGATGATGGCCTTGGAGGCCCCTTCCAACACCATGATTCAGATTCACCTTGATCCTGTTCTCACAGTGGCCAGCCAGGTGATACTCATGACAGTCCACAAGCAGGGAATGGTCTTAACGGGGCCCTCATGCTCAGGGGCCTCCCTGCCCCCAACAATTGGCCAACTGAGGACCACTTCCTCCACAGAACCATAGAGTCTTAGAATCCTGGAGTTGGAACGGGTCTCTAAGGCCATGGAGTCCAACCTGCCCTGCTTAATGCAGGAACCAAAGTCAAAGCAGATCGGGCAGGTGGCTGCAACGATATATTCTGAGTACTGACTGAACAGACAGGGAGGGTGAAGTATACCATTTTCTGGCACATTTCCCACCCACCCCCCTTGAGCAAGGGGTTGAACTACTAGATGATGGCCTTGGAGGCCCCTTCCAACACCATGATTCTGATTCACCTTGATCCTGTTCTCACAGTGGCCAGCCAGGTGGTACTCATGACAGTCCACAGGCAGGGAATGGTCTTAACGGGGCCCTCATGCTCAGGGGCCTCCCTGCCCCCAACAATTGGCCAACTGAGGACCACTTCCTCCACAGAACTATAGAGTCTTAGAATCCTGGAGTTGGAATGGGTCTCTAAGGCCATGGAATCCAACCCGCCCTGCTTAATGCAGGAACCGAAGTCAAAGCAGATCGGGCAGGTGGCTGCACAGTTTTCTCTTGAAGGTCTCCAGTACTGGAGGGCCCGCCACCTCCCAAGTGAATGGGTTCCATTATCGTACAGCTCTAACAGTCAGGAAGTTTTTTTCCCTGACATTCAACCAACATTTGGTCTCCTGCCACTTGGGCCCATGGTGGCGTGTCTTGGACTCTGGGATGATGGAGAACCGATCCTTGAGGGGCCGTAAGCACTGAGTCTTCTCTCTCTCTGTGTATTAGGCGCGCACACAGCTTTAGGAAGAGAAGCCGTGCAGTGTTCCTAGTCTTGTAAGATATGGCAAACGGATTATTTCCTCTCACGAAAAGCCCTCTAAAACCCTGGAAGGCATTTTCTGAATGGCTCAGTGCAAACGCCTGCTTTTCCGATGCCCACCTTCATATCCAGCTGTGTGAGCGGGCCTAACCTCTGTCGGAATCAGCCCCCGTCCTTCTTTTCGGTGCATCAAATGGGTCACCATAGCAACGGGCTCAGGAATACAATGCTGTTATCCCGCCATATGCTTCCACAGCCCTGTCAGCTCCCTGCAAGGGTGGGAAAGGGGGGTGGATAGTTTCCCTCGCCTACCCCCCCCCCAATTTGCTCATGGGTGAATTAG